AACTTCAAGTTATCAATTGCTATTCTTGATTGAGCAAATAGGTTCCTTCCTCCTGGTTTCTTGAAATCTTAAGTTCATGAAGGTGAACATTTAATGGGAAATTATGCATCTATAGGTTAGCTGCCAACCTTGTCTTCATGCTACTAAGAGTCTTTCTGTCTATCTTCTTCTTCTTTAATTTTATTTTATGTTATTTTTTAACTTGGGAGATTCAGTGGGCTGTGGCACTGGAACAGAGAGTCTCAAAGACATTTCTACACGCGTTACCTGGAATAAAAATCCTAGCCCGTCTTGTTCCATCACATTCTTTTTCCTGAGTATTTGTCTGCATTGGAATGGGTACTAAATTGCAATGGTGATTTCTTTTTTGGTTTCCATCAAAGTTTTTCGTTCAATGAAGCAATTTGACTGCTACAAATAAGACGGGCATAACCCTTAAGAAACATTATATCACTTACACAGCAATACTGGGTACAGATAAGAGCCATTCTTAATTCGCATGATAATAAAATGCATGGTGTAATGGTGCTTTCTTATTTGTTATGGTGATCTCATATCCTCAAAAAGTGCATCCAGTAGTGGGTGCTGGGGATAAGCTGTCTACATTGTGTAGGTGCTTTCTTCCAAGTATAGTTCCACAAGTAATTCACGTCTGATATATATCTGATCATGCAGATTCGCTCAGCAAACAGATGCTGGACAACTCACTAGAAGCCTGCTCCTGGAACCTAGGGCAACCGTGAATGTTAAACCTAATCTCCAGATCATTGCCGATGACGTTAAATGTTCCCATGGAGCTGCTATAAGTGACCTGGAGGAGGACCAGCTCTTCTATTTCCAGGCACGGGGTGTTGACATAAGAACTGCCAGAAAAGCTCTCATCTTCTCGTTTGCAGCTGAGGTGACAGAGCGCTATCCTGATTCTTCTATCAGAAAGAGAGTTGAGAATCATATAAGAAAACTTCTTCTTAGGAGTTGAGGCTGATTAATAGTACAGGATCTTGTATCGAATATCATGATTTTTCACCACATTTTTGTAATACCAATAACGCTGCCCATAAGTTCAAGCACAATTTAATGCGTTACTATCTTTGTCCTCCTTGCAATTGTTGTATCAGTGTTAACCTCTGTTGTGCTAGTGCATCTATTATTTGGTGCGTATGAACATAACGATTGCAGTCTGCATCCACCAAAGAATCTCTCTAAAACATGAAATGGTCAAACAAAATTGCATTAGCAAAACCATTGAAGTTTTAATCCAATCCCAAATCGCGTTGACAGGTTATTCAGTTCAGTTTTCCCCGCATCCAAGGACAGGTACTGGCCTTCGGTCTTTACCTTTTACCAGCACATGAAATTAAGGGAGCAACAACTCGTGAATTTATAACGCATTTTCTGTGTCTCCTTTTTTTAGATTACATATTCTTTCCTCTACACTTTAGTTCCTCTGCCATTTTCAATACCTCTAATCTTTTCTGCTCTTTTTGGTGAATTCAATAAAATTCTTTTCCATCCCTTACTCTTCCCTCTGTAGCCCTTTCCCCTTCTGAGTTCTGACCCCTAATCTTTTTCAAATTTTAGTGGAAACCAAGTTTTATCCTTCTTTCGACACTCCAATCTCCATGCAAATTTGAAATCTCTGTATACTTAAATAATCCCTTCTCTTCTTCATTTTAGTCCCCTTATAATCTTTCGGGAATTCAACAACTTTGCATACATGGTTTTCTTTGACCAACATTTATCCTACCATTCCCACTTGAAATCCTCCACAGCTTTTGAAATCTTGTTTTTTAAGTCCGTAATTTATTTTGGCTATCATTTTCCTATGTCAACAGTTCCTCTTCCATTAATAATCATTACTCCCAACCCCTTTTAATGGAACATCTTTTTCCCAATCTTACCGCGAATGTTTTTATTTGTAAAGCTTTTATTGCTGGGGCTTACATTCAGAGAATCACTTGACTGTCACTGGATAAGGTCTCCCAAACCCAAAAAAATATCCATGTCATTGTTAAGACTGTCAAGCATGAATTGAATGGATAGATATTCCTTTGGTTAAACCCAAACCCCCATCTTCCCAGAAACCAAAACCCGGCATCACCTCACCTCCCCATTTCGCCATGGCTGCAAAACTCTCAGCCGTTTTAGATGTTCACCACTGCAACATATCATATCCTTCAGACAAAAATCAGCCCCCACATTTCACCTCTCCGTTGAGAATCTCCACCAAAAAGTTCACCATTTTTTGCACTTCATCCAAATCTCCTCCAAAAACTGCTCCAGGAAAAGCAGAATCCCGAAAGAGAAAAACCCCATCTTTATCCGAGCAGCTGAAGCCTCTCTCCAACACCATTCTTTCTGACCGACCAAATGAATCCCATCAACTCTTATCCAAACCTAAGTCCGTATGGGTCAATCCCACAAAGCCAAAGCCGTCTGTCCTCTCTCTCCAACGCCAGAAGCGCTCTTCTTATTCCTACAATCCTCAAATCAGAGACCTCAAACACTTTGCCAAGAAACTCAATGATTGTGACCCTGCTGATGACGCTGCTTTTCAGGCAATTCTTGAAGAAATCCCACATCCACCCAATAGAGATAATGCCCTGCTGGTGCTCAACAGTTTGAGAAGTTGGCAAAAGACTCTTCTTTTTTTCAATTGGATTAAGACTCTGAATTTGTTTCCTCTAGAAACAATCTTTTATAATGTGACAATGAAGTCTTTGAGGTTTGGCAGGCAGTTTCAGCACGTGGAGAACCTTGCTAATGAGATGATTGAAAATGGGGTTGAGCTCGATAATATTACTTATTCTACTATCATCACTTGTGCAAAAAGATGTAATCTTTTCGATAAGGCGGTCCAGTGGTTTGAGAGGATGTATAAAACTGGGCTGATGCCTGATGAGGTGACTTACTCTGCTGTTCTTGATGTTTATGCAAAGCTGAGGAAAGTTGAGGAGGTGATGAGTTTGTATGAGAGAGGGAGGGCCAGTGGTTGGAAGCCTGATCCTATTGCCTTTGCTGTGTTGGGGAAGGTGTTCGGTGAAGCAGGGGATTATGATGGTATAAGGTATGTTTTGGAAGAAATGAAGTCACTTGGGGTACAACCTAATTTAGTTGTGTATAATACACTACTGGAAGCAATGGGTAAGGCCGGGAAGCCTGGACTGGCTAGGAGTTTGTTTGAGGAAATGTTGGATTCAGGGATTACCCCGAATGAAAAGACACTAACAGCATTGATTAGGATTTATGGGAAGGCAAGATGGGCTAAAGATGCTTTGGAGCTTTGGGATCGGATGAGATTGAATGGATGGCCTGTGGATTTCATATTGTATAATTCTTTGTTGAGCATGTGTGCTGATCTTGGGTTGGAAGAAGAGGCTGAGAGGCTGTTTGAGGATATGAAGGGATCTGAAAGCCGTAAACCGGACAGCTGGAGCTATACTGCGATGCTTAATATATATGGCAGTGGTGGGAATGCTGACAAGGCAATGAGGATGTTTGAGGAGATGTCCGAGAAGGGTGTTGAGCTCAATGTCATGGGATGTACATGTTTGATTCAGTGCCTAGGAAGAGCGAAGAGAATTGATGATTTGGTTCAGGTGTTTGAGAGTTCAGTCAATGGTGGTATCAAACCAGATGACAGGCTTTGTGGGTGTTTGCTGTCCGTCGTGTCCTACTGTGAAGGTGAAGATGTAAACAAGGTCCTTGCGTGTTTACACAAGGCTAACCAAAATTTGGTTGCCTTTATCAAGTCGTTGGAAGAAGAAGATACTAAGTTTGAGAATGTGAAACAGGAATTCAAAGGAATACTCAGCAACACTGCTGTTGATGCAAGGAGGCCTTTCTGTAATTGCTTGATTGATATTTTTCGGAACAGAAATCTCCGTGAGAGAGCTCATGAGCTTCTTTATTTGGGGACAATGTATGGATTATATCCAGGTTTACATACTAGGACTGAGGAGGAATGGCGATTAAATGTCCGATCACTCTCCGTTGGTGCAGCACATACTGCATTGGAAGAATGGATGCAAACCTTAACAAAACTTGTCCAGCGCCGAGAGGCATTGCCAGAAGTGCTATCTGCAAGCACTGGAGCAGGAAGTCACAAGTACTCTCAAGGTTTGGCCAACGCATTTGCTTCACATGCGGAGAAGCTTGCTGCTCCTTTTAAACTGAGGGAAGATAAAGCAGGCCTCTTTGTGGCAACTCGAGAAGATGTGATATCCTGGGTGCATTCGAGGGCTGCATCACTTGCCTCGATAGCTTAGGTGTACTAATTGTCATAACTATAGTTTTAGCCATGCTGCTATGCCTGACAGAGTGCAAGTTTATTTTCTCAAATTACTCTAGTCTAAGTAAGCCAGAGGCGTTATTGTAACTTGTAGTATCAGGATTATGCTTATTTAGGTAGAAGGGGCAAAGATCAACTGTACTTGCTCTTAAGTGGCCCTGCAACTGTACTAAATTTTTACGCAGACAACTTGGTAAAGTATTTCTGTCTATAATCCAAGTTTTCTTTTCTTTGTCAAGTTTTTTTTTTTTTTTCTGAATTTCTTGCTGGGAGATGGGAGTATTTACTTGGCATCGTAAGAAACATTTAGTACTACGAAAACATGCTTGGTTTGCTCATTTTGCTTGAGCATTGAAAGGGTGAGAAGAAAAATTTTCCTGTTAGTTAGTGCCTAAAAGCACTTCCCAGCATTCCCAAGCTCTGCTTGAGCATTGATGATCCTACTCCAGGATTTTCTCGAACTCCATGCTTATGATATGAAAGCGCGCCCCAGATTTTTTTTTTTTTTTAAAAAAAAAGGTAGAGAGCACGAAAGAGCTTTGGCCGGAAAGATTAACAGTTGGAAAGCAGACAAAGTAGAGAGGAGTTTGGAGGATTTGAAGGTTCTATCGGAATCAAAGGGAAATTAGGCGTGTTTTAGTTCCATTAGGATTTAGAATGGAAAGCTAAGAGTAGTTTGACATGGAAAAGACCATCCAAATGTAACAGAAATCCTTCCTCGGACAAATTTCGGAGCTAATGACCATCCATATGTAAAGTACATACAAATTTTCAAGCAAAAGTCTACCCTATAGTTTGCTGGACATCCCTCGTACATATTTTGAAGGAAAAAAGAAACACACCCTCCTATAGCTAAGACCCGCCCACCAATATTAACCTCTTTGTTTCCCCTTCAGAAACACAACAATCAACAGACTTATATACATAGTATAGGAAACCGCTTCCACCAAGATTGTAGGATGGACCTGCCCGAGGAAGTGATGATGGAGATCCTCATGAGATTGCCCGTCAAATCCCTGTTGAAAATCAGATGTGTTTGTAAAGCTTGGTGTGGTTTGATCAAAAGCCCCTCCTTCATTGATATGCATCTGAGGCGTCCCGGGAATAATAAGCATGTCATGCTCAAGCGCTACATCGAGCACGAGAACCAAACCGTGATATCCTTCCATTCCAACAATGATGAAGCAGAAAAATCTCTATCTATATGTCTTCGCCCACCTATAGAAGTTACCTGGTTCTACCATCGCAATCTTGAAGCTGCCCACTTGATTGGTCCATGCAATGGCATCGTTTGCATTACCGATGGCATGGACATATATCTCTGCAATCCTGCCACTCGTGAACTGAGGAAACTTCCTCCCAGCCCCTTCGGATGCCCTGAAAATTATCGCCCTATGACAGATGGTGTAGGAATCGGATTTGATCCATCCACCAATGATTACAAGGTTGTTAGGATTCTGTATTGGGAAGCTATAGAGTATAGGCCTGACCGTCAATACCAAGCTGAACTATACTCTCTCAACACAAATTCTTGGAGAGAATTAAGAGATGTGATCTTGCCCTTCTATCATTGTTTTTCCCGATGCAACCTGTTATTTCAGGGACGCTTCCACTGGCGTGCCTGGCATGCCTTCGCTCAACCCTGTGACACTGACTGTATCCTTTCTTTTGATATGAGGGCCGAGGTGTTTGACGTGATCCACTACCCTCCTAGTTGTGTTGGAGATTTAGGTCTTGTTGAAAACAAAGAACCCAGTTTTGTTAGCTTAAATGATTCCTTGGCCTTAATTTTATGCACCTCCTTGTCGGAGGAGCACCCAGCCCCTCCACAGGTCATTGATATATGGGTAATGATGGAGTACGGGGTTGAAGAGTCCTGGACGAAGAAATTCTCCCTGGGGCCTTTTACAACTGGAATTCGTCGTCCGCTCTGCCTTTGGAAGGATGACAAGCAACTTCTTCTGGAGAGTAGATCCGGGCGGTTGATTTCATGCTCTCTCCTCCCGGATGAACTAGAAGCAGCAGAACTCAAGGAGCATGACATTTTCGAGTCCTCAACCTTGCTTGAAGGTCGAATTTATGCCGAAAGTCTAGTTTCACTCAACCCTATATATATGGAGGAAGAAGCCATCATCGAATGAACCAACTGAAACTGGAGTGCTAAACCTGCATGCATATTTTTATGTACGAGAACCACAGCCCCTGTTACCATTGGTTATTAGTGCAAATTTGTCAAAAAAAAAAAAAAATGCCCAGGTTGTTTTACCATAAAAGTAAGCCAGAGTTTTTGCTGTGATTTGTAGCATCAGGATTTTGCTCCTAAGGGGCAAAACACCAACAACTGTACTGTTTCTTCAAGTGGTCTGCAACGTTGCTGAATTTTACAGACACATCTTGGGTAAAATATTTCTATTTATAAGCCGCATAGGTGGAAGCCCCACCTCCAAAATTACAAATTCTCGCCTTTTGACTATAGCGGATCTAAGTACTGTTCTAAACCCCTCCCCAACCCACCATCTTACAAACACAGCTTTTGGCGCTAAAATGCGAAACGAAGAGATACACAATGAATCACATATCGTGCATCTATGCAAAATTTAGAACCAAATAAAAAAGAGAAGGAAAAGAAATTTTCCTGTTACTTTGTTGCCTAAAAGCACTTTCCAGCGGTCCCAACTACAAAAATTTCTATACCTTTCCCTGACCCATTTTTTTCACATTGCTTTGAGCATTGATGATCCTGCTCTCAGGATTCCCCACGAACTCTATGCTTATAATTTGATAACCAAGAAAATTGGTTCTTAAACTTCCCTAATCCCTGCTGTCAACACAGCCGGAGGATCGAAGCTCTAGAGACACAGACCATTTAGAGATTCTACCAGTTATGCCAACTCAAGGGTATTTTCCTGATGACTTCCAAATTCTTCCTTCAAGTGATATCACCATCACAGTGACATCATCATGGTACTTCCTCCGATCACCTTGGGGGATGTCCAGTAGTTCATGAAAATCCATTCCTGCAGACAAAAGATAATTCTATCCTTACCATGCTGGCCTAGATGTTTTCTCATGCATTAAGAGGATGCGCAACTCTTGTATTAAGCTACAAAGCATATGCAGCAAAAGAACATCGCAGGAGTGAACAACAAGAATCCAGGCCCAACACCTGATGCTAAAGGAAACATTATTATTTCCAGGAGATGGCTCATGTGCTATTTCCTTATAGAGGAGAAGTTATTTTTGTGAGGGGGCTTAAAAATCTACTGCACGGGTAAATACCAGACTGAGTAATATCAAGATCACGTAAAACAATGACATGGATTAGTTTTGTAACTTCATACGGTCTCGTGATAAAATTCCGCCACTGTTATAGTGATCATAAACTTTTTGGGCATTTAGTGGCAAAACTTACATATCTAAGCACCTGCCACCGTTATTCGGTGGAGAAGGGAGGGTGAAGTTGGGAAATGGAAGCAGGCCAAAATTTGATAACACATAAAACCATTTCAAAAAGAACTCTTTCACACATGTGATGCATGATTGCCTAGTAAGTACTTAAACTTACATAATGATTACTTGTGAAAAAGTAGGAAACTGTTTTTAGTAATATCATCCAATTAATTGTTGGATTCACTATTTGCAAAGATCAAATAGCTCTATAATGAAACCTGTCCTAATTTACAGTAAGTTTAACACCAACTTAGTCCACAATGTATTTTTTCCCTTGTTGATAAAGTGTTCTCAGGATGGTTTGAAGGACAAAGATTGCAATTCATAGTACAATACAGAAAGGAGTTGGACACTACCCACCAATAATTAGCAACCTTCAAAGTTTCCAAAACCTATAATCCAGACTGCATCAATAATTTCACATATATTGACAGCAGACAAGCCAGATAAACCAAGTTTAAAGAGGAGTTTAGCAAACATATCTTTCCTCGAGTCCCCATGCTACTCCCATGATGTGTCAATGTTAAAAAGAAAATTCGCTGCTTTTGACGGAATCAATAAAAAGTTTTAATACCAACTTCTATCAGGGCAAGCAGAGTGAATATACCTGCTTTTTTAGCTGCACGTAACAAAAGCTCTTCTATCAGGTGCTGAGCAGGGTCGCCATCTGGAAACTTCTCCATGAAATTTTCAACAAAAGAAACCACTTCCTGGTTGCTCAAGTACTGATACAATCCATCAGATGACAGGACCAAAAACTGATCTCTGGGACACAGTTTATGGTGCCGAAGAGAAGGTGAACAGGAGATATAAGGAGCAGTTCCAATGTAGTCATTCCGAAACATTTCCAGTAAGGGATCATTCCACTTAGGCTGCAGAAACAGACATCTCAAAATGTTATTCAGACTAGCAACGCATATTAAAACAATGTCCAAGATATAAAATGAGTGATAGTATGCCGTTGGCATACATTACTACATAAGCGTGCATCAGGATGCTTCACATTTCCAGGTGTTCGTGGTGCAGTTAAGAAAAAGAAAAAAAAACCCAATCTCAAAGTTTAAAGATTTCTAAATTTCCATCTTTTAGTCATTGCAACAATTCGAAACAAAGATTGGGAGTATCCAGTCAGGATGTTTTTGCCAATGGTGTTTTCAAGGGAGGGGGAGGAGAACAATGTTTCACAAAGGACAGAGAGAATAGTCGATTGGATATATTGCTCAATATGGAGAGGATGACAGCAGATAAGATGACAGATTAGTAGTGAAATTCGACAGATAGTACATGAAAACAGTACCCATTGACGTCAATCATGATCTGGAGTTCTCCTTTTTGCTCGCTTCATAAATACTCGGAAAGTGCCTCTCTCCAAAGGAAACTAAAGTTATAAAGTGACCTTAAACTGGACCATGCACAGTATGCCAAACAAATTTCTAACAACTCTCATCTTTATTCTGATGGACATGATTAGAGCACAGATAATAACTGCAAAATACAGAAGTTAAAAGCAAACCTGCTTAAGGAAACCAGCTCCAAATGCACGGGTAACTTTTAAACGACCTTTAACTCTATCATTGACAATGCAATTGTTGTCATCAGGGTGTTCATTCTTGATCCTAATGATTTCCTGACACAAGTCAGAAGAAAAGAATCCATTCACAAACTCCAAGGATAGGTTACAAAATCATAATTAGAATGCTTTTGAGTTTAGATAGTAGAAAAAGATAATCAAATGCTATTAAACAGAAACAGGATTAAAAAAAATGAAAGCAAAAAAAGCAGGAACAGGACAATGAATGCAACATCAAACAAGCAAATGAAATGAATATTATCCCATTTTAATACCTTAAACTGCATAAATCAGACTACCCCCCCCCCCCCTTTTGTTGCGGGGGATGAGGGAGGGACTGAATCATGCGCTTATCCCATAAAAAGGGTCCAGGATAGGCAACTTCACAAAATAAATAACTGCATGCACAATAAACTTGCAAAAAGGATATTAAGAGAATGATATTGAGCAATGCAATTTGTAGATAAAATGGAAAAGTTGCCATCCAGTACCCAACATGCAAATGATATTAAGTGCATGCAGAGTATCATAATCTTGTCATCTCTTTTTTATTGCCCATAGTAGTCCCAAAACTATTATCTCTAAATAGACCAACTTCAAATGTTAAGATTCGTAATGTACTAAAAACACTAAAGGTAAGAATGGAATACTTCCACAGAAACTAGTAAATCATAAATTAGAGGTTTACTGTCATATAATTGATATCTCAGTCATATAGGAGAACAGGAAATTGAAAGGAGTACTGTCTCTCTATCTTGCAACAGGACTATGACTCAAAACATGAATAATAGTTTAAAAAGCCTGAAAGGTCCTCTGATATTGCATAGAGGGGGAAGGCCCCACAAAGAGATTGTATAATATTGCACAGAAAGAGAAAGGTCCATTCTTACCGTAAGTTTGCCCAATAACAGATATGAAGATAATGTATCATACTATCATCTAGACTGGACAAATTATACAGATATATGCTGTGTAAAACAGCGCAAAAACCGTTATTGCTGACTTTCTTGTAAAAGTATGGACACACAAAATAACACCAATGCATTGCTTACTGCAATCATAACTTGAAGATTTCAATCATAATAGTTAACATAGAGTATTACCCATGCATTGCCTACAGCAGCTATTGTACTTCACCAAGCCATTGAAAACAACAAAGAAAAGATGATATTTGCAAAGTTGACTCCTGTACCGAGAAGTAGAGGCCTTGCAGCATGCTAATCGGATAAGGAAGAGATTCATGACAAATTAAAAAATTAACCATAATTTGGTCTTCGCAATTTCTAACCACCTTTGATTTACATTCATGATATTTGGAAATAAAAAATAAGCAAGATAGTGATATTATTGCCTTATTTAAATCCATCCACAAGGTGAATTAATGTAGTCACCTTGTCCTCAATCAACAAGTCACTTTCACACCGACTCTAAATACAAACCAGGTGCTTATAGAAGTGGTGCATGGTGTATAGTATATACAGAGTTGCTTTCCAGTGGTTCATACAAATTGGAATTGAAAAATAGAGGACTCCTTGTTGACGCTATAAAATATAACAACCTCACTGCATGAGGCCCTAAATCACTATAACTAAAACATCAAAAACCAAAAAAATTGCTCATTTATCAGTTGTTCTTCTTCTTCAATTCAAACAAGATACATACTCTGAAGGACCCACCAGCAAAGCTACTACAAGCTAGAGATCTCATGTGATAATGGGCTAAAACGAAAAGGAAAGACAAGCTGTATTTGCAAGATCAAGTTAGAAAACATATTCTAGGACTTAATGTAATATTCCATAGTTCAGTATTAGTCAAACAGATCATCGGTGTTTAATAAAGTTGGCCACCAACTAATAGTCCAAACAAGGACAAGGAAACTAGCTGTCAGAAGCTGGCTCTATTTTCTTGTTTTCTTTTGCAATTGAATAATCTGAAGATGAGAGTGGATAAAAGGTAACACTGAAAGAGACAAAGGGTAACTTCCTGATCATCCATTCAGAAGCTTGAACTCAAGCAACCAAATCATCAATTCAGAACCCTTACCAATCAAATTGACTTGTTCTTACACTCAATTTACATTTGCAGTACTTAAAAACTCACAACCAAAAAACTTGCACCTTCCTGATACAGTCAATAATTTCTTCACAGGTACAACAGCCGCACAACAAACCTTACTACTCTCACAGAAAAGCTAATTGCCTCAGACATTCTGCTAGCAGTGTACATTAAACATCTGCCA